ACACTATTTTTTCCTTATGGTTTCATTTTTGATATATGGAATCGGCTTTCTATACTATTTCTATGGGATTTTCCCATAAAGCCATTCGTAATGTTTGAGAATGCTGTTTCAACGGTTCAATTGCCGGATATAGATAATTATTTTAACATTTTAAAATTTAAATTTCAGGACAATCATAATTATCCAGTTCAATTCTTGAGCAGAGCAGTATATACGATATTTATTATTTTTATTTTAGCCAATTTTATATTAAAAAATATATTTTTATCTAAATTAGCTAATAAAGCAGAGTTGCACAAATTAAGCGTAAAAATAGATACTACTTGCAATAAAAGTTACACATTTAGAAATTTTGAACATCTTTCAGTTATTTTCCTAAAACATAGCAGGGGGGGGGGTTAACAACAGGTACTATGTCCCGATGGTGAGTGCGCGCATGTTTGTGAAATTCGTAAAGTTGTTAATCGATGGATCCTTTGTAAGCATTTTCTGTTGTCCAGTTTTGCTACTTCCGGTGTAGGAATTTTGGTAAGGTGACCGAATATTTACGTGTTTCAAGGTAATTCAGGCTATAGCTTGAGAGGAACATAGTACCTTATTCTCTAAAAACCAGAAAAGCTTAAAATAGGATAAATTGAATGTTTTCATTTAGTGTTTGGGCGTATACATACATTCAGTCAAAAAGAGTCTCACCAAATTTCAACGTTGGCCGAAAATGACTTATATTGCGGATATAAAATTAAATATTATTTAAAAAATTCCTGCAACTAGACGAATAGAAATTAAGAACTGAAATTCAGTAAAGCTTTTCAATATTTTATTAGTTAGCGCGTATAGGTTTTAAAAATACTTTATTTTTAGTACGATTTCCAAGGTTTTATTTTCCTATAATTAAAATACAGATAAGAAAATCGTTTAAAATCATATTAAAAATAAAGTATTTTCAAAACCCATAGACTCAGCACTCATCAATAAAAAGGTGAACAGCTCTGCTAAATTCCAGCTCTTCATTTCTATGTGACTAGTTGTAGGAATATTTTAAATAATATTTAATGTTACGTCTGCCGGCCATCATAAGACCTATGCTAACGTACAGTACAGTAGTCTAGATACATAAAACACAAAAATTGACATCTATCCGCAAACTAGAACAAATTCAAAGAACAGCATGTCTCTACATAACCACACCGACCAGAGCCAGTGAAGTCATTCGTAGTCTCACTTTCCTTGATATTTACATCAAGCAGGTTACTCTGATGACGACTCCGAGCGATGACAATGGCACGCCTATACACGTTGGAATAGAACCTGATGTAGGATCTAGTGAAGCGAGACGTAGCTTTCGGCAGGAGGCGCTCGATACGCTCCCATTGCTTTAAGCAAACATGGATTCCATCTCCAAGACATATCTTCCATAAGCCATAAAAAGTTAAAACAGAACAAATACAAGAACGGGAAGTGGCAGGTACGATTCATATCTACACCGACGGTTCTAAAACAAAACAAAGCTCAGGATGTGGAATATACTCCAGATCCTTAAACCTAAACATGAAATGGGCTGTGAGCAATAGTGTCAGTGTAGTTCAAACAGAGCTCACGTGGATTCTCATAGCAGTAAAAAACAACAAAAACAACATCACTGGAAGGAATATGCTCATCTATACAGATAGCAGACAAGCACTACTCACCCTGAACAGACCACAAACTTACTCAGGGTTGGTACTAGAATGTCACGAAGCGTTGGCCGAAGTATCCATCAACAATGTGGTAACCTTATGATGGATCAAAAGTCACGCCACATCGAAAGTTAACCGTCTTGCTGATTCACTGGTCAAGAAAGCAGCCAACCAAATACTTTTTGGACCTGGTCCTTCTATTGGCCTGACAAAATCGGTAGTGACAGACCTAATTAAAGGACATTCCCTTGTGACATTTAAGGTGCGAACATCCATCGAGCATATCCTATACGATTGCTCGACGCTCTCATTTATTAGAAAATTTGTGTTCGGCGAGTATCGGCCAATATAAGAGAAGCACCTCTTGGCGACGCTGTCACCTACATTAAATCTGTAGGCTGGCTCACGAGCTAGGATGTGCCTATCATCTTAGGAGGATGCACATTGGCCCTAGTGAGGCCTAAGTGCCGTGAGGGGTAACCCACACGTAACAGATACAGATGTCACGTCCGCAATATAAGCCACCATGTATACATTTTCAGTCAATGTTGAAATTTGGTGAGACTTTTTGACTGAGTATATAAGCCCAATCACTGTCAATTAAAACGTTCAATTTATCCTATTTTCTTATTTTATAAGAATGAGGTGCTATGTTCCTCTTAAACGCGTATTTTCTGAATCTAAGATGAATTGCAAGTATTTTTTGTGTCGGCGAAAGTGTTCAATTGCAAAAACAAAAGGTTTTGAAATAAGTATAAAATTGGAACCAAAAGTCGAAAAGTGGTTTAATTGCTCTCAAAATGTTTGTATGACTCTCAACTAAGAGCATTTCCATTGCAATTTTTTTTTTCATATCAACCCTTTCGTCGACACAAAAAAATGCTTACATTATCATCTCAGAATTAGTAAATACGCGTTTAAGCTATATCCTGAATTTCATTGAAAACTGCAAATATCCGGTCAAGTGGCCAAAATTCCTGCACCTGAAGTAGCAAAACCGGACGACAGAGAAAGGGAATTTTTTATTGTTATTGTCGTCTAGAAACATATTATATTGAAGCAAAAAACGAAAAAAAAACGAAAAAATCTATCATACAAGCAACTTTAATTTGAATTTTACAGGTCACGTGACCGCTTGCACCATCGGGATATAGTACATGTTGTTCCCGTAGCCAACTACAAAGAGAAAGCAGATAAGATGACCCTTCTACAGTCAGATGAGGGACTCCAGAATTGTGTGTTTATTTTTCGTAACAAAACTTAGTTGTTTTGAAATAAATAAATAAATAAAAAAAAAATAAGCCAAAGAAATATTTAAAACAACGCCGTTTATAATAATTCTAAGGAGTGATTCCCAAAATTTTTTTAAACAGCCTTGAAAAAACTTCTTCTTCTTTTTAAGTTTCAGATTGGATTTAATTCAAAGCCGAACTTAGTATCGTATCTCTGTCATTGTCGGTCATGGCATACTATATAAACATTTTTTTTGTGGATAACTTTTTATTAACTATTCGACATAAATTTCGTAATTGCAACTTTAAAATGAGTGATCCAAACTCAATATTTCTCAGGTATCTACGTATCTAATTACTTAGACACAGGACACAGGTTAGCTTGCAGTTACATAATTTTGGACATTAATATGAGGTAATAATAAACTGCGACCTAAACGGCCTATTGTACCCTCTCCTGTCGCTAAGACAGTAAGGAAATAGTCCCTGTCTATATTGACCCGTCCAATCCTATCTTTTCAAGGCTATAAGCACCAGCTGGTGCACATGCTATAATAAGGATTTGAAGCTGCTCCAAACTTAGAAGATCGCCCTCTTTACTTTGGTATACCCTTGGATTCTGGAGTCATACACATTGTGCTAGATAATGTGATAGGAGGTTTCGTCCTCCTTGTCCGTTTTACTTCCAAAGACTCAATAAAATCCAGAATTTAACTTTGAATAAATTGTCGACTAATACTTTTTAAAGTGTTAAACTGTACAGGGATTAATTAAAAAAGACAGGTGATCGATCATAATTTTTTTGGACGTCGTGTAGAGTTGAATATGTTTTTACAGTTGGTACAGCTCTATATCTCTATGATATCCATTTTTTAAATGTGTAAATATTATTGACCGCCAGCTATGAAATACCGCAACATTGTTGTATGCTAAGATGGTATCCATTCTATGTCAATACACTCGCATCACGTTAAATATGAATAAGCAATTGCGTATGGATCTTCTGACACCCAAGGTTATTAGACATGCCTCAATAAACTCAGTGCCAGATATTTACAAGTAAATCAGCTTTAGTTTTGCTTACAACTTGTGGCATCTTTATCTGTAAAGTGTGGAGGGTAGTGTTGTCCCACAGCACACACATGTCCATTTTCCTAAATTGATAGACCCCTCTCAACTTGTCAGGCAGTCTACAGATTTGATGTAGTTAACAATGTCGCCGAGAGGTGCCTCTTTTATATTGGCCGGTGTTAGCCAATACTCGCCAAACACAAATCTCCCATCGGGAAATCGTTAAGCATATGCTCCATAGTCTTATCTTCTTATTTGCACCCCCAGCAGTGAGCTGAGATTAACAGTCCCATGCTGTGGATGTGTATCCGTACTTGGCAATGACCAGTCAGAATGGCTCAGATCAGGCACATATTCTGTCTAGTAATACGTCATACTCAAGTATTCTGTAGGGTTATCAGAGCAACTTAAAAGCTCTCAGGCAACTCTGCAGCTTCTTGTTTCATCCCATCTTTCCTTAAATTCCACAAAGGCATGTTCTTTAATTAGGTTTGTCATGATCGATATTGTTAGTCGAATGGAAGGGTTAGGTCCAAAAAGTATTTGGTTGGCTGTCTTCTTCGTTAGGAAATCGTTAAGACGGTTACTGTTCGACGTGGCGTGGCCTTTGGTCCATCTTAAGGTAACCACATTGTTCATGGTTTCTTCGGCCAATACTTGGTGGCGTTCTAGTAACTCTAAGTAAATTTGCGGACTGTCCAAGATGTTCCAGTGATACTATTTCTGGTAATTTATTTTGCTGATATGAAAGTCTCCGTGAGTTTAGTTTGAACTGCACTAGCACCACTGCTTACAACCCATTTTATGTTTATGTTTAGAACCGACTGTGCCATGTAAAACTTTTAACCTCATCCAAACAGTTTTCATATGGATTCATCGAGCAAAATATTCTTATTATACAACCCTGAATTATTGATAGAGAACATATTGTATATTATTTTTGTTCAATAATATGACTTACTTCCTCTGAAATTAAATTATATAAAAAAATAATAAGTTACCATTTTTTCTTTTGTTACAGATGATGCAGACTGCGATTCAGACCGCGAACTAGCTTGCCCTGCGAAAAGGAGAAAACAGGATTTTTTCCTAAATTTGCCACTCCCCGATGAGGATCTCAACTCCTTAAGCCGATCTAGCAGCCTATTGCAATTCGAAACTTTAGAGAAACAGTGCCAAGAAACGTGTCCAACCTCTCCAAGTATTTACTCCCAATATTCTTTTGATAGCCTTGAATCCAATATACGGAAGCATAATTTAAGCCCTGATAGTTTAAACAGTCCTAAGAGCGATGATACTGAAGATGAAACGGATTTTTACAAAACATTGAAGATAGACATACCTACTAGGAAAAAGCAACGTAGCAATGATAGTTTGTTATACGGCGCAAATAGATCATCCGGTTCAGATACTAGCGAAAGTGACGTCATTGATATTTCGCGGTCGTTTGACAACTTAAAACCTTGGAGAAGTTTTGACAGTTTACCGGTAAATAAGATCGTTCGAGATAAGGTGTCGGCCGAAAATTTAAGCGAAGATAGTGGATATAGCGATCATTTAACGAAATCTTCAAGTTATAACAGTTTTAAGATAAAAGATGAACTCAAAGTTTATACTATGAAAAGTTATGCGGAAAAGAAGAATTCTTACGTTGGATTTTCTGCTTATGATGGCGATATACTAAACGAGGTGAGTGCTTCCATGATATTTCAATGTGTTGTGTAAATGCAAAGTTCAAACCAAAAGTGTATGGATTTTAAAAAGGAATACTTTAAAAATGTTTTTCTAATTTTGACATAAAAAGTGACACTTTTGCAGCAAGTGTCAAAATGATATGCTTTATGTAACTAGTTACATTAAGTGGAATATTATGTAACTGGTATGAAGACTAGAGATAAGGAGACGAATCGGCATACTCAAAATACGGTCCTAATTGAGCTTCTATAATTAACCGCATGGGCGCTGGTACTGCATACGTTGTTCAAAATACATGGCTTCTTATGGGAATTATACATAGTTTTGTCAAAATAATAAAAATAAACTTGTTTACAGCTAAATAAAGCACAGAACGTACTGTTGTATTTATTTCTAAATAAGTCTTGCATGTTTTAATTGATAAATTATTTAATTTTATCTATATAAAATACAAATTAGGTATGTATGACCAAATTCGAAAAGGTTTCTTAATTGCTGAAATTTGATAAGTACAATTTTGCGGCAAATTTTTTTGAATTGAACCAATATATAGTTTTAAGAGCAAAATAAAATACAGTTAACAGATTTATTGTGATTTATTGTTGTAATACAAGTATAAAGGAAGATTTGGGAATGTACATGGTATTACCTCATTCTTTAATTTCAGCTTTCCCCTTTTTATTTTGCTAACAGTATTATCAGTAAAAATAGTCTCATAATATTTGATAATATCTTCTAAAAAGTACAGAACATCATCTCTAGAAAGTGCTTTATCGGCACTAGGAACGATATACCGAGTGTTCAAATTAAAGTGTTACAGTTAAATACCGCCGAAAATATGCATTTTAGAAAAAAAAAGTTTCAGACAAAAGTTTTATAGTTTTTTGGGTGAAACATTTTGGCTAAATTATTTTTTTTATAGCTGACCATAATATGGCCATATCGAGGTGGACTTTGTTTTTTTAATTTGGAACCCCATTTTATTTTTACATATTCTTAAAGTAAATAAAAAAATAAGAAACTTTTGAAGAAAATATTTTTTTATTGGACTTTTACTTTTTGAGTAACAGCTACTTGAAACTTTGTTAGGCGAAAAAAAGTCGGCCATATTATGGTTAGCTATAAAAACGATTTTAGCCAAAAAATTTTCCCCACAAAACTATAAAACTTTTGTCTGAAACGTTTTTTTTTTATAAAAGGCGGTATAGGTATAGCTGTATCACTTTAATTTAAACACCCGGTATATGCTGCCACTGTTCTAAACGTTTAGTATCCTATAAAAAACATTTACAATGACATAATTGGGATCCAAAAAAAATAACAGTAGCAACTCTTTATCTAACATTAAAACTCTATAAAAAAATAAATTTTCTTTTCTAGTAAGTAAAATTTAATGCATAATTTTTGTTGTTTGTAAGTCAGCATATACAACTGTAAAATTTTGTATTATAGAAACTTAAAATAAACTACACTTCGTAAGATATATATTCTGACAAGTTTACAATAAATATTGCATTTAGACATGAATACATTATTTTACTTACATTAAAAGTTTTAAAAAGACATTGAATTGCTTTCTTCTTGTGTTTTCTTTAGTTTTACATTTGATTTTTATCCTGTTTTACAATCTGAAACGACGTAAATCTTGCTTTGATGTTTTTTGTCACTCATGTTACTTGTACTCAGGTACTTTTTTTTCACATTATTTTGATTCTTTTCATCAATTTTTTAAAAAATCACTTTATTTTACATTGACTTACATAGAAAATTGACTGCGTTGTCATTAGACATGCCAACTACAGTCAATTTCGCGAACTTTATAAAAAGAAGGACGGAAATTTGAAATTTGACCATTGCCGATTCGCCTCCTTCTCTCTAGTCTTCATAGTAACTGGTTATGTCATCAATTACGAAAAGACAACAAATAAAAATTTCGTTTTAAAATCAACATACAGGGTTGGGCAAAATTGTGGCTCAATTATGGAATGTAGTGAAAATTGATTCTATTATATTTTTTCGTATATTTTATGCAATATTTAATGATTTTCGTCATCTGCCATATTTATCAAGATTGACGTCATTGGATTAAATTTTAATAAATCACCCTATATTTATATTTTTTTCATCTTCCAAAAATGTTCGATCTGAACTGTCATAGTTCGGATGTGGGGTAATTTAAAAATAGTTACAGAGGAAATAAAAAACTCATTTTGTCAAATTTAAAGTAGTCCTGATTCTGTATAAAAATCTTACCCCCACCATTCCCAAAAAATTAAGTAATAACTTTTTATGTGAAATCGTTGAAGTTTACGATTTTTTACATACATACCTAAAATTTCAAATTTTTTCGACAAAAATTTATTCTTCTAAATATGACGATTCAGGACAAAACTGTTTCAGTCCAAAGATAGAAAAAAATTTTGGGTAGGTACACTTATATGTAGAAAAAGTCGTGAATTTCAACTATTTCATTTAAAAAGTTCTAACTAAATTTTTGGGTATGCCACCCTGCCATCTTCCCCTGGGAGAAGGTGGGGGTAATATTTTTATACAGAAACGTTATAAATGAGGTCTATTAAAAATTTTCCAAACATTATTATCTCCTCTGTAACTATTTTTAAATGCCAGCATCCACATCCGAACTATGCCGGTTCAGATCCAAACAAATTTTTGGAAAAATATCAAAAAAAATAAAAAAATTTAGTATGTACGTTTTCTTGAAAAACTGTAATTTTATTTTTTGAGGGTGACATCCCCTCTACCTATATCAGCTACAGGGTGGAGAGGCGAATTTTTTTTGCGATATTTATTGGATAATACAGCTATAATAATATACCAAGTTTGGTCTCTGAATACCAAGCTCCCCTAATTTATTTTTTATATCTGTCAAACTTGCAAATGATTCATTTATTATTGTTTTAGGTCTCTTTTATGTTACTATTTATTTTCAGTTTTTATTAAACTTGCGAAAATGTTCCTATTTTTGTTTTTTCTTATTTTTCATATATTATTTATGTGCATATATTTTTTGACCCAGGCGGCTGCGAAAAATATCTTGCACCGAGGCCCCTGTCGCTACTGTCTACTGGTTGGATTACTTCCCAAGTGACATATGGTTCATTTAGCTAGTATAACTAACTGACTTTCAACAAGTAGCCCATTCCCTGCACCATTTTTCTTCAAACCGAAGCCGAACTTTTTTCTGCATATATGCATGCATGATATAAATAGCGATGTGGCAACGTTACATTTTTTTGATAAGCCGTTGGCGAAAATAAACTTAGATATTGTCGGTTTTACTATACAATATAGAGTAATAATAATTTCATAGCCAACCTGGATTTAAATAGAAAATGATATACGATCATCTACTAATGTTAAAACAAAAGTCTTGTTGTTTGAGTTAAAACAAAAAGAAATTTTTTATATGTAATAAATTATCCTCATTAAACAACCAACATATATTTTTGTAAATCTTATACCTCGAAAGTTGTTAAAGCCGGGCCTGAATTTAATTTTACATGTTGGTTACAAAGTTACGACTCAAGAAAAAATCAATAAAAAGCCAGTAAGATGTATGAAACATCCTATATATACATTTTTGTCGATGTGTTATTAAATGTGATTTTACTCCATATTTTTAATTGATTATAAATAATCAATTCCACAGATTATAGAATGTAATTATAAATTCTTGGTACCAATAAAAATTCTTCTTTTATCTCCATACAGAAAAATAGGTCGACATGAAAATGAAAATAAACGTTTTATTGCAGTTTAGATGTTTAGTAGCAGGAAGGTATAAACGAAAGTATGTTTTTATTTTTCGGATTATATCCAGAGTAATTTTTAACAGTGGCGGTAGCTGTAGAAACAGGTAATTAAGAATTTAATAATATCTACTCAATAATTGAGGTAATTCTATCCGACTCCGAGACATAATGTATGCAATCTTCTAAACCGTTAATCGTAGACAGTTTCTAATTTTTCCAATAATACAGTTAGACTTTCAGATAGTGACAGAGTTAGGTGCCTCATTTTCGCATACGAGCCTCAAAGAGGGTTGAAAAGTACATCGATTTTAAGTAGAATGAAAGGAAATTTACGAGTGGCTCCTGGGGATAACATATGGAAACTTCTATTTTCCTTAGCAGAAATTAAAAGGTATTTGTTGCCCATATTTTCACGCAAGCCGTGTTCGCTAAATGTTTAACTAATAGAACTATGTTTCGGAAAACCAAAGGCTTTAATGTTGCAAGTGGCTAAAGGGTCGAAATAAGGGCGTAATCTTGTAAGAAGAAATCGAGATTTTAACCGATTTTTCCACACAAACCCATCGAATATATGAAAACGTACATCGTCACTAGTCCGAAAAACATGTTGGCTTGAATGACCCGAATGGATGAGTGAATTTTGGAGTCGGAAAATATTTCTGTTAAGGAAAATCGTATTTTCCAAAAGTGTTATCCCAAATAGCCACTATCTGACGGTCTAAGTGTGGAATATTTAAATATTTTCGTACAATACTTTTCTCTATCTAAAATTTACCATTACCTTATTTATAGGGTGACCATATTTCTTTTAATCAAATACTGGATTTATAGACAGTCGAACGGTGTAGGGTGACTAGAGTGGGAATGGAGGGGGGGGGGGGGAATGCAACTGGAAAACAACTCTTTATTTCTTTAAACACAAAACCAAAAATGATTGAAAACGCAAACAGGAACATAAACAGCACTAAATAAAAACATGCTAGACGGCGTAGCCAAAGAATCAGCTGATTAGGGCTTTAATCCTGAATGTAGAGATGTAGTTATCGACGTACATATTTTGTATTTTGATAAGAATATAATTAATAGAAAATTATTAAATTGTTTAATTTTAAAATTTTCCAAATTATCAAATTTTTTTAAATGTTAAGTATTTTACGTTTACTGTACAAGATTAAAAAATGTTGGACAGTTTTTGAAAATGCTGTAAAATACAGCAAAATGCTGAACCTATGAGCACCCTAACTTATTATGGTAATGTGTTAAAAATACAATATATTTTTTGTAAAAACTGACCTTTGGCTACTCGACGCTATTTTGTAGGTCTTTCTTCTGCAGAAACACATATTGGGAATGTTTACTACAATCAAGAAACAAAATTGTTCATAATGGAACCAATCTTGTGCTAGTGCGATTCGAAAATATAAGTCAGCTCTAAATATAGACCAACCAGAACTATAGATGATATTCATGATCTCATTAAGTTTAAAAGGCTTATGGCTGAAACTAGAAGAATTGTGAAGGATAGCAAATGAGAATCGTTGAAGAAATATGTAAGTTCTATTACATCTGAAACGCCTGCGATACAAGTATGGGCAAAAGTTAGACAAATGCAAGATAGACATACTTCTTACACAATACCTGCTTCAACATTCGAAAATCAAATTATTACTGATAATAAAATTGTCGCGAATGCTCCCGGTTTACACTTTCAAACTAAATCTAAAACCAATGCAACACTCCCAACAATTAATGTAATTGCTTTTTAACCTTTAGATTTAGATGTTA